CATCCACCTTTCCTGCCACAGCCTTCCACATGGGGGTTTCATGGGAATGATGGGTGTGGGGTTTGAGGGAGGCTACCAGAGGTCAAGTTCAATGCCTAACTTGCTCTTTACTCTGGGGACACCGAGGCCCAGGGAGGTCAGGGCGCTTCCTGAGGTCGGGACCAGGAGGCAGGCTGCTGGACCACACTCGGTTGTGGGGACTCTGTGGGCGTCCCCCGGAGTCCCAGGCTGGTGGTTTGAGGACGTTGCTTAGCCTCCCTGGGCCTCCATTTCTTCTTCTGTGGAACCTGGGGGAGCCTGTGTCCGAACTTCCCTGAGCACTGTCAGGCCGGGGCATCCATGACCTCCGTTCACCCTCATTCCACCACAGGGAAACCGAGATCAGAGGCTCGGGACCAGGCCTTTCTGACTCTGACACCCTAGTTCCTTCCACAGGAAGGTGTTAGCTTTCTATCGGCAGCAGCTCAGGAGCGTCCTTGGTCTCTGACCTTCCCTGCGGGGGTGGGGGTGTGTGTGCTCTGGGGCTGGGAGGTAATGCAGAGCCTCACAGGCATCCGAGGTCACACTGTTAGGTCATTCTTCTCTGTCAGTAGTGTAGGTTCATTTTAGGGAAATCAGAGAAAATAGAGCCATGCAAGAAGATTGGAAAAATCATCTGTGTTTCCATTTCCCAGCAATAACTATGGCTCACCAGTAATGTTTTGAGATCTAGCCTTCTAGACATTTTTCACGTGTGTGTGTGTGTGTGTGTGTGTGTGCAAGTGCACGTGTGTGCGTGTGCATGTGCTTGTATACAAGAGCCCTCACTCCTTTTTAATGGGACAAAACTCTGAAATACTGTTGGGTGTCTTTTTAAAAAAACTACATACAGGCCCTGGCCCTTGTGGCTCAGTTGGTTGAGCATTGTCTCCCCCACGGAGGGGTCGAGGGTTTGATTCCCAGGCAGGGCACATACCCAGGTGGTGGGTTCGATCCCTGGTTGGGGTAAATACTGGAGGCAACCGATTGATGTTTCTCTCTCACATCGATGCTTCTCTTTCTCTCTCCCTCTCCTTTCCTCTCTCTAAAATCAATCATAATAAAAAACACACAGCACACATTTTTCCGTGTTGTAAATACACTGCTAGTTCTTTCTTCTGAAACTTTTAAGTTGACCTTCAACATGTACAGAAAAGGATACTTTTCACAAGCACACGACTCAATGACCATTCAGAGTGAGCACAGCGTTTGCAGCCTCACTAGGTCAAGAGACAGAATTCTTCCAGAACCCCGCACTCCTGCACCTTCTCCGCATCCCCTCTTTCCTGCTCCAGACGTGACTTCTTGTCTGACAACATAGACTCATTTGGCCTGTTTTTCAGCTTTAGATCAATGGAATCACAGTATTCGCTTAAATTGACTTCTTTCCCTCCACATCCTATTAGAGATGGTCATCTGACGTTCTATGCATTTTAATGACCATGTGGTGACATCCATGATACATGCAACTCGATCACTGTTTTTTTTAGTTGTTGTTGTTAATCTTCATCGGAGAATATTTTTTTCCATTGTTTTTCAGAGAGAGTGGAAGGGAGGGAGGGGGAGAGAGAGAGAGAGAGAGACATCAGTGTGAAAGAGACACATCAACTGGTTGTCTCTCACACGTACCCCGACTGGGGTGGGGAGTGAACCTGCAACCCAGGTATGTGCCCTTGACCGGGAATTGAACCCGAGACTCTTCGGTGCAGGGGCTGATGCTCTAACCACTGAGCAACACCAGCCAGGGCTCGACTTGACCACTGCTGTTGACGTGAAAGATGTTTCCAGTCTTTGACTAATAAAAACAAAGCTGTACCCAACACCTTTTTGGCCATATCTTTGATTATTTCCTTTGAAATCAATTGATACAAGAATTGTTGTGTCAAAGGGTTGTACAGTTTTAAGGTATTTAAAAATTATTGCCAAATTGGTCTCCAGGGAGCTGTGCCTGTTTATGTTGCAACAGGTGCTTGGGAGGGAGCCGATCCCTGACGCCCACATAACACGGTGTTTTTGTCCTGCTGTACCTGTGACACCAGGATAGGCAATACTCGGCATCCCATCATTTCCAGGGTTTAAATTACAAGTTAGGATGCACATTTTTTTCTCATGTTTATTGGCCATTTGTATTTCTTCTCTATTGGGTTTTTTTGGGTCCATTTTACTGTCAAGATGTATTTGTTTTCTCATTTGTTTGAACAAAAGACTATATTGGATATGATAAATAAAAATGTGTTCACTATATTTTTACCCAGTTTGCCATTTGCCTTTACAGTATGTCTTTAGCATTTTGCATGAAAATTTCTTTTCTACCCCAAGATTATGCCAGTGTTTACTCACATTCTCTTCTTTTGCTTGTGTGGTTTCCTCTGTAGCATGCTATCTATCGTTCATCTTCTGCACTTCCTTTGAGAGCATAATGTGATGGACAGCTTGTAGGTTCTGAGCATGTACTCGGAAGCCCCCAGCCACCTGTGTGCCCTTGGGCAAGTTACCCAGACTCTCTGTGCTGACTCAGTGTCTGTACCTGCAAAATAGGAATAATGCTGGTACACAAAACCATAGGGTTACCATGGGGGTTAAACTACAGCTATGTGCAGACTTTTAGTCTCAGGACTTCTTCCTTTACACTCTTAAATACTGGAGATCCCAAAGAGCTTTTGTTAATGTGCGTTATATACATAAATCGATATTTACCATATTAGAAATTAAAACTGACTATATCTAAAAACATATATTTATACATTCCTTTAAAAAATGACAACAGCAAACTCATTATGTGTTAATATAAGTAAAATATTATTTTTCTGAAAAATAATTATGTTTTCCAAAACACAGAATATAGTGGGAAGGGTGGCATTGTTCTGCAGTTTTGTCAATCTCTTTAGTATTTTGTTTAATAGAAGACAGATCTCATATGTGGTCTTGTTTTCAATCTGTTGTGATATGTTGTTTTGATTAAAGTATATGAAGAAAACCTAGCTTCACAGAGATAAGTGGTTGAAAAAAGGAGAAGTAGTTTGTTAGCCTATAGATATTTTTCTTTGATACTACATAAAAATTGGACAGGTTTAGTTGAAATATAGACTCTGAAAACATGTTGATGAACTTTGGATATTTTGTTACATTAAAATCCATTGGACTGTCTTGCACTATGGATGGACCTTTGACCCAGGCAACGATTTTGTATTAGTCATTGGGGAAATACTGCCTCACTGAGTTATACAGATCTTCCAAATGTGGACACATTTCATTTCATCATATCCAAAAATTACATACAAGGTGGAGCAAAAGTAGGTTTACAATTGTTACGGAAATTAATATAATAATTAATATCGGAAGAATAAACTCTCTGTTTCTTATACTCACCTATAAACCTACTGTGCCCTATCCTGTGTGTACATATCACCCATATCACAAATCTTTATGGGTTGGGATGCCATCAAACTCACAGTGGCTGATGCAAGTTTTCCAAAATTCTAATTTTTCCCTTGAAACTTCACACTTGATCATTGGCAACAAATGCTGTGGGATATTTTCCGCGAAGAGGCAGGCTCACCCTATTCAGCTTTGAGAAACTGTCTGCCAGGGCCCCAGTCCTGCATAACCACCCTCTGTCTGCCGGCCGTTCTTTCAGGTAGGGCGGTGGCCCGTGGACAGAGGCTGGCTCGGCTCGGCTCAGGCAGGCTCCCAGGTGCTTCTCCTCCAACACTGACTTTCTCCAGCACCCAGCCCAAGTGCACTTCCATGTCATCACAGAATATTAAAATGACATGTGCTCCAGGGCTGAGGTTTGGTGAAATTAATCAGTTTTACTGCTTCATCAAGGACATTCTTAGGTGACGCCGGCATACTTTGTCACTGTGAGTGATGACTGGCCCAGTTCAGGGTCAGTGCTGTGCCTCCTGCTGAGCCTCTAGGAGGCTTTCTAACCCCCATGGCTTTTGCTCCATCAACTGTTCTCACGGTGAGAAAGGCAGGATGTTTTATTACTGTCCTGAGAATAGTTTTGACCCTGCAGACCCCTGGAAGTGTTGGGGACCCTGGGACTCCGTGGAGCACGCCATCGGAACTGTGGGTTAGATGGTAGGTAAATGGGCTTAGGGCAGTGCCTGGGCCCCTCTCTGGGTCTGGGACAGTTTGTCTGCTGCCATCCCCCTCCTCCCCAGCCTGAGAGAGACAACATGGGGAATGGAGAGGTAAGCCATTTAGGGTTAAAAATTCATCATTTGTGATTTCAAATCCTATTAGAGGTGAATGTGTTTGGTCCTCAGGAATAAGTGAAGAGCCCAGGAGACTTTATAGGTGCCCCATTTTTCTTGCCTCCCTGGGAGATAGGGGTCTCAGCCAGGCAACTCTTCTGAATGGGTGGGGTCTGCTTCCCAGGCAGGGGACCCCTCAGAATCATCTTCCTCCCTTCCTGGCCCAAAAGGGGCATCCATGTTCCTTCCTCATTAACCTTCTCTGCTGTGTGGGACCCAGAGGTCAGCAGTCCCCCCCATTTTTTATAAGGTAATTAAACTATACTGGTTTATGGAGCGCCTGTTGTGTTCTGCGACCTGGGCTACAGCCTGGTCTGTGTTGTCTCATTTATGTCCAGAACATGGACACCCGTAGAGTTGATCTTTTTTTTTTCTTCTTTAAAAATCTTTCCAGTTTTGTTTATTCAAGTGGCTCCTTTGTGCCAAGCACCGGGATGCCATTGAAGGCCAGCCTCAGCCCCGGCCTGGTGGGCCTCACGGAGGCCACATCCATGGTGGGATGTGGCTGGGGGGATGGTTAAGGAAGTTTTCCTGGTGCAGGGGATGGGAGTGAGCTAGGCGGAGGGAGCAGGGCAGGAAGATGTGGGATGAACAGACCTTTGGCTGGTGTGGGGCCCTCACACTTTATTTGCTGCTTGGCAGAAGACCCAGTGGCATCTGTTCCATTGCTGGAGGGAAATGGACTAGGTTGGACCAACAGAGAGATGGCCCAGCCTTGTCCTTTATGGGCTGTTTAAAGGATTTCCAAAGGTGCAGTTTCTGCCTTACATAAACTGTAGAACACCCTACTCCACCCCCTGGCCTGGTAAGATACACCTCTGCTGTATTATTATTTTTGTTACTGTTGTTAATTATTTGCAAAGGCCTGTTGAGAGGTTGTCTGTTCCAGGGACGGTAAGAAGAAGTTCACTTTGGCTGCAGTTCGGAGCACAAAGGTGGGAGTTGGGGAGCAATAGGCCGGAGAGGGAGGTTGGGCCTGAAGGTCATGGACTGGCATGCGGTTCCTCTTTTAGTCTGAGGTCTTTTATGAAATCTGTCTCCTCTGCTTTGTGTGCTTCATTCTCTGGAGCAGGAGAGCTCTTCCTGGTCAGGGTCTTCCCTGGCCCTGGGTGGACGAGCTCAGTGAAGCAGACAAGCAGGGCGGTGCAGGGGAGAGGGGTAGGAGACCTTGGTCCTGGCCCTGCTGTCCATGGTCTCTGTGACTGTGGGCAGGTCTCTGGCCTACTCTGGACCTCAGTTTCCTCTCCTGTAAAACGAGAGGAACAGACTAGAGTCTCAAAGGTGCCCAAGGGGGATTTAAACTCTGGTGTGTTAGTGTGTGTATGTGTGTGTGCGTGTGTATGTGTGTTGAGAGTTGGGGGACAAGGCCCAGGGCAGGTGGTGGGCTGGTCTGAGCCCCTGTCCTGGGTACAGACCTGAAAGTTTAATTGACACCTCACCCCCCAGCTCTCTGCTGACCCCACAGCAGGGGATCCCTGCAGCACAATGACTTCCTCCATGTTTGTTCTGCAGCTGAGGCAGATGTTTCCTGCAGCTGGTCACTCAGCCTCCTGCCCTATTTTTAGCTCCATTGTTACCCACCCTGGGCATCTGGCTGCCAGGGGTGTGTGAGAGGCTGTGGCCCTGGGAGGGGCACTCTTTTCTGGGTCCAGCTTGTTCTCTTTCTTCTACTAAGTCCCTGGTTTAAGCTTCCCAGTGTCTTTTGGAAAAGTGAGGGTGGCTTCAGGAGAAATGGGAGAGGGATGGCCAGATGATGCAGTAGAAAGAGCCCAGGTGGTAAAACCGGAGGCCTGGCTCTCTCGCTATGCCATGCAGTGAACTTTCTGAGCCTCAGTTTTTTTCATCTGCTAAATGGCACAATAGCCTGTGCTTCTGCCTTTCTCAAGGGGTTGTTCTGAAATGAGATCGTGAATGTGAAATTTATTTCATAAAAGGACTTTTGGAACCTACAACTATTGTGGATTCAACCTTTGGGGGCCCTGGAAGAGCATTGGATTCAGAGTTGGGAGATGAGACATGTACTTACCAAACACCCGGCCAGGGTGTGTGGGGTACAGGCTGTGTGGTGGAAGGCTTGGAAGGGGAGGGGTCATTTCCACTGGACAGTGGTGGATGGGGTGAAAGGGTGAGGATGGGAATGGCATTCTGCTTGTGGGACCAGGGCAGGCAGAGGCATGGAAGCAGGGGAGGGCTGGCTGTGTCCTTGGACTTCTAAACAGTAGGGGCCTTGAACATCTCTGGCCAGCATCTCTGGGTGGAGCAGTTCCTCCCCAAGTGAGGCCTCATGGTGGGTTTGAGGACAGGAGGCTCTGCAGCCCCCTTCCTGAGCCAGCAGTCAGCACAGCAGCTCTGCTTCTGGCTCTTTTACACATTGAACTTTCATAAAAGATTGAGGGGTGATGAGGGTGGGAAAGGGGACCTTGAGTGCCAGGTAAGGGAGTCTAGACTGGAGGCCATAGGGGTGGAAGGGATGGGAACAGACCCCAGAATTGGGTCATAGTTCTTCCCAGCTCCTTGAAATGATGCTTCAGGTCCCTGTGACTTTGCTGGAGGTAGGAAGTGGGGTTCAAGCATAAGTTCCCACTGGTCCTTTGGGGCATGGTCCCTAGAAGCAGCCAGGAGAGTGTCAGCAGGGCCAGGGCCCTGGGTGGGGTCTCAGGAGACTCTAGGTTTCTCCTGACCTTGAAATGCCCAAATGCCCAACTTCTTGGAGCTGAGCAGGTGAGCATGTCTAGGTACTCTTAACCCTGTTCTCCCCAGGGTCCTCCCCGCGGCATTCTGCCCTTCCCCCACTCCAATCCCAGGCTGCCTGGAACCTGGTGATGGACAGGCTTTCTCAGGCACAGAATGGCTGCCCTTCTTTGGGGATTTTTACACCCCCTGCCCCCTGCTCCTCCCTGAAAGAATCCAGCAGGCAGGGTCCCTCCCATCCAGATACTTCCTTATTTTCCAGGGAATTCCTCTGCTCAGAAAGGCTATGAGAGGGACATGAGAGACTCCAGATGGGGAGACTCGTGTAGTCTTTGTCTGCCTTTTTGGAGCAATGGAGGCCAAGCCTCTAGTCTATAGGGTGAAGCAAACATTCAGCTGCTTAGAACTTTCTAAATTTCTGCAGCTGACTCAGGGGAGCTGCTGCACCACCCCATCTAGCCTCCGATGGAGCACTAACCTGCTTGCTTCTCCATAGGCCCTGGTGGCCAGGGACGATGTCTTCTGTATTCTGTGAGCCCCCGTGGCCCCAGCATGGGCTGGGCTCCCAGCACCCTGGAACCTGCGCATGGTGCAGCCCGACTTTTGCCAGTGGGGAAGCGTGCCGTCCTCCTGCAGGAGGGGAACCCACAAGTTCTGCAGTGTTGCCATGTGGCGTGTGGTCACCGAGGGCCAGACCTAAAAATAACGGAGTGCATTAGTCAGGACTAGATTTGGCTACAAGGAATAAGAAAATCCAAGTAACAGTGGTTTACACTAGATGGAAGTTTATTTCTATGTCCTTTCCAAGCCTGAGCTTTGTGGCCCATGGATTTCTCGGGAAGTTTGATCTGTACCATTCCTAGGGTGCGGCCTCACGTGCTCGTGATTCAGGACGGCTTTGAAACTTCAGTCACCACATCTGTGTTCCAGGCAGCTGGGTGGAGGAAGGGAGTAAAGGGATAGGAAGGATTCTGGAACTTGCCATGTGACATGACCCGTACGTTCCATTATCGAGAATTAGCCACAAGGTCCCAGGTAGCTGCAAGGTAGGTGGGGAGAGTAGTCTTGGTCTGGGCTGCCCCTCATCAGGGCTCATACAGCCGGCAGGGAGGGCAGGGGTGAAGGCATTGTGGGCATTTTGATCAAACCTGAGGCTCTTCCCAGCTGAGCAGCTGGGCCAGCCCTTCAGGGACTGCAGAGCCTCACCCAGGGAGGTGGCCCAGGTGGGAGACTAGTCCTGCCTTGGGACCAGAAAGCCACATGCCCAGGCCAGCAAGGGGGAGCAGAAGGGCTTTAAGGGGTTAGGAGTCAGCCCAGCGACTGTGGGCAGAATAAGAGAGGCAGGCCAACCTCTTCCCGGGTTCAGAGCACGTGGCCTGTGTCTGGGCTGCGGGGGTCTGAGGAAGTGGATAGGCTCACTCACAGGACAGTGGCCAGGAGGCAGGGGGACTCAAAGGCTTGGAAAATGAAGAACCGCAGGTGCTGTCACACAGAAGGAGAGGATGCCCCAGGACAAGGGTTAGACCAGGAGCTCCCTCCCCCATCGACCTCCAGACGCTGGGGGAGCGCCCAGGAGGGCTTCAGGGGTCCCTCCAGGAATGCGGACACTTGATTTTTAAGTATTGGCAGCTAATTAGGATGGAAATAACGAAACTGCAAGGCTCAAGCCCGTTGTACACTTGGCCCCTTTTGGCCGTGGATTCTAGACTTCCTCCCTCCAGATGAGATGCATTCTCTGAGTCTTCAAGGGGGAGTCGAGGGATGTGCAGAAAACTAGCTTCTCATAAGATAACTTAGATTTAAAAAAAAAAATTATTTAAAAGTTATTTTTTGGCCCCAGTTATTTATTTTGAAAAATTTCAAGCGGCAGAAAAGTTGAAAGAAGAGTACAGTGAATGCATATCCGTCCTCACCAGTTGCTAAATTTACTCCATTTGTGTTTGTCTCTCAACCATCTGAAGATTACAGACGTCAAGATGTTTCACCTCTAAACACTTCAGCCTTTGTTTCCTCCGAACAAGAACATTCTCCTCGTATTCACAGTATCATCACCCCCAAGGAAGTTAACTTGTTTATCCAACATACAGTTTATATTCAGATGTTCCCATTTGTCCTCAAAATGTTCATTATAGATCCCATCTAGACGGAGCTTTCTGTCAGGCAGGCTGACCCACATGGGGAGCTCCAGAAGTGGGAGCCTCCCCAGGCCAGGAAGCAGGCAGCCAGGTGCTTGAATGGGCCCTTTTCCTTCCTGAGGCTCCCAAACTCTAAGAGCCTCCAGGCCCATCTGTGACAAAGTCTTTGCTGGTCTTAGAGCAGGCAGGAGCCCGTTCTCTGCCCTCCACCTGTCAGGGGAGCTAAGAGGGAGGCTTGTTCGTCCCTGACCAAGGCCAGGGCTGGCATCTTTTCCTGTAGCTCCTCCCAGTTCAGGGGTCCATCTACCCTATGACCCATCCCCCTCCACTCTTCTCCTGCCCTGTGTCTGCTCCCAATTGCTGTGGCTCCTCAGCTGGCCGCCAGTTACTCTGCCCTCCTTTGTCCACTTCTGACTCCAAACCCACCTTGAGGTGTCATTTCAGTGTGTGACAATGATGTCATGTCCCTGCCAGAACTCAGACCTTCAAAGGCTCCCATTGTTTGTAGGCTGAGGCCCCGAATTCAAGGCCACACCATCCCCCAACAGCAGCCCCCCTGCTGAACACGTGACAGTATTTCCAAACATTCTTCCACCTTCTGTTTTTAACTCTTAGAGTTATTTTTTTAGTTTAGAAAAAATAAAACATTTCAGAAACATATAATTTAGTAAGTGAAGGTCTCCTGCAATACCAGACCCCAGATGGCCTTACTCTATTATTTATTTATTTTATTTACTTATTTATTTTTTATTGTTGACAGTATTACAG